CAACATTGTCACACAGGAGCCAGCTCTTGGGAGGACTGTGCCCCACAGTTGTCCTCGGATTGATATTTCTGCATGACGTCATTTGACCGCAACATGCTTTCATCAAGTGGCTACTACTGTCACTCTCATATGACACCATGGCTTAGAAAGGGTAAGTGACTTGTCTAAGGCCACCCCTGTAAATGGTGGAGCAAAGATTAGGGCCACCCCTCTCTGACCCTGGAGTGTAAGAGCCTGCTATTGGCCATCTGTCACTGAGCTATTTCTGAGGTCTGGCTATTTCCACATCAGAAACCATGTCATGTGCGGGCACTATAGACTTAGACTCTGTCCCGGAGGACAGAGCAGCACTGTTCCACAGGGTCACCGAAGCTGTGAATCTTCCAGAAACAGACCGCCCCGTCTGTCTTTCTCCCTCAGGGCGATTAGGAGTTTGAACTACTAATTTTTCGGTGCTCGGCCCAATACTTCATGCATTGTGTCACCATGGATTGAGATGGGACTCAAGAGGCGCGGGGACCGTGGACGGTATTACAGGCTTTTAATAAAAGTATTTACTGTTTAATAAATATGCAACTCCTGGGTGGGGTGACTGTGAAACAGGACAGCCCGCTTACCAGCCATGAGGCTTTGAGCAAATGACTTAACCTGCCCATAAAATGACTTCCTCAACTGTAGAGCTCATACTAGTACTTGCCTCACGTAGCTGTTGAGAGGATGAAATGAGATAGCAGGCAGAGTATCCGTTATTACTATTGGAAACATGTGGCTTTTGATGGGAAAATTGTTTGCTCTGGTGTTACTACAAGTCAGGGATGTGGCAAGGTCACTGGGTGGGCCCTAACCATCCATGTGCGTGTCTTCACTCCCAAGGTTTTTCTTTAATGAATTCAATTGGGCCTTGAATTGCCTCTAGGAATGATTAACATAATGAACTTTAACTTGAAATTCAAAGTGAAACCCTTTAAGAAAAGATGACATGGGATTAAAGTAAGATGCTATGCCAGGAAGCCAAGTGACCCTAACTAGAGCCTAACAGTCTAGCTCGAAGCAGGAGGCGATTGCCGTGCCTCTGGGAGTTCGGACTATACTTTGGCAAGGGCTCGGTTGACGTGATGAAGCGCACTTTGCCAAATATCTTGAAGAAGTTGAACACCGTCAGTGCTTGTCTTTATGGCATGTTATTTGAGAACTGGGCAAATTATGCAACAGATGTTCCCATAAACCCAGCTTCAGAGTGTGACTGGGCCTTAAGGCAGGGAGCAGCTGGCCAAGGTCTAAGCCCTGCGCGTCACCACTCATAAGCTAAGCTGAATTAAGAAATGGCACCGAGCAACGTGGTGATGTAGCAACTATATCAGCAGGGTTGATCCGAAACTGTGACTTTGGGAGGAGGATGGCAGGCTAGTTCCTCCAAAACATGAAATAGGTGAAATGTTCACAAATGCTAGCCTATACCAAACTGCATGAAGTTTGGCCCCAGAAAGAAGCAGTAATGAACTGCAGGACTCCTCGGGCCCCAGAGACTGGGGTCTACAAATCAGGCGCAGGCCTGCACTCAGGCCGCTTTGCATGGATCCCCAAGGCGAAAATACATCTGAATAACCTGTGCTGTAGTAATACAATCCCTCTCGTCCTGCGCTTACCCAGCCCCCAACTGCAAATCTTTCACACGTAAGCCTGGACTCCCAGCTTGTGGCCAAAACAAATGGTGCTCTCCGGGAAGAAGCTGTGCGGCGTGGCTTCCTCTGCACTCCTGCTTTCACATATGGTCAGTTTATTTTTAGTCTTCTCAGAGAGTTTCTCAAATAAGCAATGCCACTCAGCTGCCTTTGCCAATGCCATAAGCCTTTGCTGCCACAATATAGTTCATGCAAGATTTCAACAAAAGAGCTGTCCTAAGAAGCGCCAAGAGAATAATCGATTTGCCCTTCAATCGGGGCATAGTGTATGATTTACTCGTTGGCTGCTCACTGCAAGGCCAGCAGTTTGGAACCCACCCGCCACTCCGAGGGTGAGAGATAAGGCTTTCTGCTCCCTTAATGATTTCCAGTCTGGGGCACCCACAGGGGCAGTTCGACCCTGTCCTGTAGGGCTGCTGTGAGTCGGAACTGACTAGACGGCGTGCTTGGGTTGAGAAGAACATTTAACAGACACCTCTATTTGAAGCAGATGCGTGGATCTCCCCAGCATTGAACTACGTTTTTTTTTCTTTAAACTTAGCTGAAATCAAAAGGTAGGAAGAAAGTATGGGTAGAGATAAACACAATACTTTTTTAAATTCAAAAATAAAAATCACCAAAAGAAAAGAGAAGTAAAGAGATGATGGAATTGGGCCGATACTATCTGGTAGACTAGAAGCCCAAATGTCAAGAAGGAAGCAAAGCACACCCTAAATCTGTATTTCCTACCCAAACCCCAAATCCACACCCACTGGGCTGTTTCCCACTTACAGGGACTGTGGGCAGGGTTTCTGAGACTGAATCTTTAGGGGAACAGAGAGCCTCAGCCTTCTCCCACTGGGGGGTTTCAATGTCCAGCCTGTCAGTGAGCAGCCCAATGACAATCCATAGCCCCACCAGACCCCTTAAACCTTTCCCACTAGGAGATCGCCATCTCCCTACATGCAGTTCTGTGACTCCTGTGAGAAGATCAATCACACGTGCTCTGTCTAGAACCCAGGAAAGGAATGGAAATGTGTGATTCGGAGCAGGCGCTCAGCAAATCCTAATAGAATGGAATATAGAATAACATCTCAAAAGTTCAGAGTTAGCCAGATAAAAACCCTACACAACTAAGATGGGGCGTTTCCATGGTTACGTTAGCTGAGTGTGCTTTTATCTAGGGTTAGATTCTCCCTTGCTGCAGTGCTCAGAATAGCACCACCATCTACACAATGACTACAAAACGCAGGACCCTTCCATTGCTGCTGATCTGATTCCACCTCAGGGTAGACCTGCGTCTCCCGGCGTACTTTCCCAGGCTGTAAATGTCCTTCTCGCGCTTGGCAAAGTACCGGGTCAATGAAATCGTGGTTGCAACAATGGGTGCAAATATAGCACTGATTGGGAGGCTGGCTCCAGCGTTTCATTCGGTCGCACACGGGGTCACCATGCGTCGGAACAAACTGAGCACCAGCGGCACCACCGCAGCGACCCTCTGTGGACGCTGACAGCTGCTCACAGGTGGCTGGGGCTTACCCTACCCGCCCTGCATTAGCATGCGACATCTTCACCACTGTGCCACTCAAAACACACCGAACTCACTGCCAGTAAGTCCACACAGACTCACAGCAACCCCCTGCGGGGTTCAGAGTGCGTCCCTGTGCGCAGGCATTGAAAGCCCAATCTCGAGGCTCCTGACATGATGACTAACAGACCTTATTGAGAGAGGCAATAAAACCCGAGTGACAAGCAGGCGAGAGTGAGCTCTGCCATCCGTGCTGAGGTGACGGGCAGTGATTTCCAGTGAGAACGGGAACTTTCATGAAATGTCTTCACTAGGAACACAGGCTTGGGGCAGGCTGCTTTCTGGTTTTTCGTCGGTCAATTTTCTACAATGTTCTGGGCCATTTAAATAGAACAGTACCTGGAGCTGGATGAACACATTTAATCTGGGAGTGGGGGCGTGGGGGCTGTATCGCAAGTGCAAAGCAGCGGCAATTATCCCCAACAATTTAGGTGATGGAGACTGGATGATCCAACCTCGAATACAATCCAACCTCGGTGAGGGTCGCTGGTTAGAGGGAGGCTTTGTTGCTCAGCTCTCTTTCCGTTTCTTTCAAAGTCCCAGACCACTGTGCTACCTGGTGGGGCCAGCTCTCACGGTGAACTAAGTGGGCGCCTGCCAGCGTCAGCTTAAGGAACAAACTCGACGCACACGGCTCCTTAGACAAGGCTAGAGAGCCGTGAAGAAGCAGTTGTGCTATTTGTAAGAAAGGAGGAGGGAAAAGCTCGAATACAGCTTTTTAACGTCTTCTGCCTCAAGAAGCAAACCCCTCCCCTAGTTGAACCGTAAGCACTCAGTGCATAGTGATGAGTGGACAGGGAGCTTGAGCTTGGTGAATTGAGCTGTTTTTCCATCTTCTTTTAGGCCCAGAGAAAGAGAAGGCCTACATCCATTCAAGGATTCCTCCTTTTGCCGAGTGGCAATGACACATCGACACTTGTTCAACTAACTCAAGACACTACAACAAAGCAACAGTTGCTTAAAAAGGACTAATGTTGCTAAAAGCAAAAATATTAAAGATCAAAGAAGGTGGAATATTTTGCAGCAAATCTGGGTGTGAAAATGGACAAACACTGGGAAAGAGGACAAAGACTTCGAGGCATGGCACCAGGAGAAACCACTACATTTTCTAGAAATGGAAAGTGGCTTCCTGTGGCTGGAACACTGGACATATGGTGGCGGGGGTTGGGGGGTGGGGCTCGATGGTGCGAGAAGATGGGTTTAGAACAGTCTTGTGCTGTGCTGAGGAGTATGCCCTTTATGGTCAGTGGAATAAGTACCAGTGAAGACTTTTAAGCAGAGGAGCGAAGTGATTGGATCTGGTCAGACAGGGGCCTCTGCAACCAGCCTGAGGAACACGGATCACTTCAACGAGGCTGGAGAAATTAGGGACGGAAGGCTGGCGCCTCAGGTTAGGAATATGAACCTACATGACTGTAGTTGTTACGACTGAGTAGCTTCCGATGCACAGCACCCCTATAAGTCACAAGGCAGCCGGCTGCCCCCTCTTTCTTCCATGAGGTGCCTAGTGGATTCGAATGGCTGACCTTTCAGTTAGTAGCTAAGTGCTAACCCTTTGAGCCAAGGGGGCTCCTCAATCAGATGGAAGAAAGAGGTAGACATTTCCTTTCCTGGGATGCGTATACCCTACTTCTCTTATAGGGCTGTCAGCTTTCTTTTTGCTTTGAAATCTAATATGAGTATTTGTTATAGCCATTTTAATTTTGTAAGAATATGTATATACGGTTGCAAAATAAAATCATTGTCCATACCTGAGACACTTTGCCTGTTGGAATCAGAGTCCCCATTACTGGAGTTAGAATTGTTGGAGGAGTTGTTGTCAACCCCTCCCAGAAGGGGGCGCAAGTGGCTCACTGAGACTTGTTCAATGAACGATGTTCCATACTTGCGAAAATACCACCATTCAAATATCTAGAACAGAAAAACAATAGTGGGTGTTTACGGTCCATGTTACATATGCCCAGAAAAATGTGCTATGTTGACTGCTTAGATCCACCTAAAGAAGTAAATGGAAGTATTTTTTAAATTAGAAATTTGTTCCCCAAATTAAAGATTTTAATCATATTAAACCACCAACTACATTTTAAATTTGTACTGTTGTTTCCTCCATTTAACACAGGGTAGTTTTATCTAAGTCTACAGCTACAATCATGAAGAAAAGTACACAACGGTGCTGGAAAATTTGGATCTCCATCTGCAGAAGAATGAAACAGGGCCCACACCTCACCTCATGCACAAAGATGAACTCAAGATGGATCAGAGCCCTAAATGTAAAACCCAAAGCTAACAGGATCATCAAGGAGAAAACTAGGATGAACCTGAGGGCCCTATTTCAGGGCACACATGGACTACCACATGTAACAAAGGAAGCACACAGCATAGAAGACAAAATAAATGAGAAAAATAAAACACTATGTGCATAAATATTTTTTTAATAATTAAAAAATTTCATCAAAAAACTTCATGAAAAGAGTAAAATGATAGCCCACGAGTTAGGGGAGAAAAAACTTTTAGCAATGGCATAAGAGAAAAAGGACTGGTTACTAAAAATCTACAGACTTCTGCAACACCTCAAGAAGAAGAAAAAAAGTAACCCTCTTACAAGGTGGTCAAAGGACCTGAATAGACAAATCACAAAGGTGCCACCTGCGTGGCTAACAAGCACATGAGGAAATGCTCTCAGTCACTAGCCATCGGGGACCCGCAAATGAAAACAATGATGAGATCCTATTTTACGTTCTCAACGAGAGGCCACTTTCTGGGAACAGAAGGCCCCATGCTGGACATAGCGTGGAGAGACTGGAACACTTATACATTGCTGGAGGGTTTGTAAAAACGTACAACCATTGTAGAAGCGATACGGCGATCCTAAAACAACTGGCGGTTAGAAATATCATAATCGACGCAGCAATACCACTGCTGGGCATACCCACCACAGAATGCAGAGACAGATCGTGAACAGACGTATGCTGTCCCATGTTCACTGCAGCACGGTTCACAACAGCAAGAAGCTGGAAGCGATGGCCCACGTTCCCACTAGTAGAAGAGCGGATTTTTAAAAACGGGTTTATGCACACAATGGAATGCCAGGCATCCCTAAAAAGAGGTGATGAAACCACAAAACACCTCATGACTTGGTGGGATCTGGAAACCATTATGCTGAGTGCAGTCGGTCAGTCACAAAAGGACAAATGTTGTATGAGTCCACTACTACAAGGATAAACACCGAGATGATGGCAAACGGATGCGAACAGGTCATGCAATCCACTAACCCCGTCTGCCCAGCAAGGCCGTAGAGAGCCTGGCTGGTGCCCACGAAGCAGCTCAGGACACCTAAGCACTAGATGAGTACGCCCTCCGCCCTTCTTTCTGAGACGCCCTTCACTCTGCAGTGGACTTTCCCACGGTTCTCCAACCTGCTCGGTTCCACGTCTTTCCTTCTCCACCCCGTCTCACTGGAGGATTGATCTCTAAGGCAGTCCGAGATCCTTCCACAAAAGAAATATAAAAGTCACCTATGTGGGCAGACACCCCAGAGTCTCCAAGGATGGCTATATAATGCTTGTGAAACACCATACTTCTAGAAGGTGGACTTGACAGAATGACTTACTTATATCCTTACTTATTTCATAAAAAATAAGATTTTGCAGAGGACCAGGGACAATTATTGGGAAACTGATGTTTTCTCTTTACTCTTTCTTCTGAGAGAAACAGAGGAATTGCCCTGTAGGGTTTCTAAGACGTTAACGCTTTATAGGCACACAGAGCCTTCCTGATCATCTGTCTTCCAGAAGGATTAGCAAATAAACTAAAGTCCACCCGTCCTTATGGGTCAAGTTGATGCCATTCCAGAGAGTTACTCCTTTGACTGAATTTTCCCATGCTCAAATATTCATATGATTTCACTAGGCCGCCTGGGGAAAGATGATACAAGTGCTAAGCAGAGATAGGACTAGTCCATTCCACTTGGAATACCAGGTAAAGGGGGGAAGTTTAAGAAAGGTAGATTTACCATGGACCCAAAATTGAGTTTGTAACCCCAATGAAATACTTTACCAATTTGAGAATTCCTTTCCTTGACTCTAAAGGGAATCTGGGTTTCTCCTCAATGTCCTGACTTACTTTTACAACAAGCCTGAATAAGGCACCCAATCCAGTACCGGCTACCTACGTGGGACTCCAAAGTCACAGCAAAGTTCAATTACGCTGATGATGCCCCACCCCAAGTTCAGCACTCTTCCCATACGGTCCCTCTTGTTTCCAGTCTACAAGTCAGGTTAATAGAGTTATCTTGTCTGTTATTAGGTTGTTGGTTGAAAGTTCTAGAAAATAATTGTAGCAAAGGGCACTGCTAACCACACAGGTCTGGCTACTCAAAGCAGACTCCACAGGTCCCAGGGTGGCACAGGCGGGCCTCCTGTGTCCCAGGTCTCTGGGGGGTTTCGGCATTTTGCTCCTCTGCACCAAGCATGCCTGCACCCCCACATTATAAAGCAGGGCTGTGGCGCCTGCCATGACAAATGCACGGATCCCCAACGTCCCTCACAGGTTACCCCCTAGCACAGTCTCTGCCCCGAGTCCACAGTTTCTCCAGCAAACTCACAGAATGTTAGTCGGAAAGGGGACCTCCAAGGGCCATCTATACCTCCAAGCTCCATTTAAGCTTCAGGAATAAGAATCCTAGGTGCAGCCAGCTGCCCAAGTCACACAGTTTGCTCCAGAGCTTCCGCTCCCTGACACTAATCTTACCAGAGCCCTTGGACATGACATCCGTTTGCAATTCTCTTGCTGCACTTCAACAAACACAGGCAAATGAAGGCATCCTTTCTCAGATCTTCACTTCCAAGTGCCCTCCCATTCCACTTTCCCTCCTGAGTTTCTTAAATATCAAAACGAACCCATCAGCGGTCTACCAAACAGGACCAGAAAAATTCATCCTAATGTGTAAACGGCATTATATGCTCAGGGGGCACTAAGTTTAGGTTACTGGTGGTGGAAGAATTTGGAAAAGGATATCAATGTTGGCTGTCCAGCACGAAGAGTATAATCAATGGCACTGAATTATACATGTAGACAAAATAATCATAATTTATAAATTATCAAGGGTTCATGAGGGACAGGGAAGCGGAGAGGACGGGGAAAAATGAGGATACCAAGGGCTTAAGTAGAAAGCAAATGTTTTGAGGATGAGGGCAACAAATGTACAAACGCGCTTGACATACAATGGATGGATGTATGGACTGTGATAAGAGTTGTACGAGCCCTCAATAAAATGATTTTTAAAAAAGAATTATACATGTAGAAGTTGTTGGAGAAAAGATGGTGTACAAGGCTGGGTCACCCAGCATTTCCTTTATAAGACGACACTGCCCGGCGACCCAGGGTCTATGCGGCAGCAAGGGTGCTGTCGCTGTTGTGCGCCTTCTCAGAGCGACTCCCACTCCCACTCACCGTGACCCTGTCGGTTAGAGGAGGACAGAACTGTCCACGGGGCTTCCCGGCCATCACTGTATAGGAACACATCTTTCTCCTGCAGACCACGGGGACGCTCGACCCCCTGACCTTCCAGTCAGCGACTGAGTGCTTCCCCAGCGAGCCACCAGTGCTCCCTGCAGGCATGCTGCTGCTGCAGTTATTGTTGGAATTGTCGTTAGGTGCCGTTGAGTCAATTCCAACTCACAGTGACCCTAGGTCCAAATGAATAACACCCTGCCCACCCCTGCACCTTTCTCACCATCGCTGTTAGGTTTGCGCCCATTGGTGCAACCACCGAGTCAACCCACCTCCTTAAGGGGTTTTTTCTCTTTTCACTAAGCCTCCATTTTACCGAGCATGATGTCCTTCTCCAGGGTCAGGTGCGTCCTGCTAACATGTCCACGGTCTGTGAGCTGACGTCTGGCTACCCCCATTTCGAAACTGCATTCTGGGTGCACTTCTTACAAGACCCGCATGTTTGTTCTTCTCGCGGTGCCCGGTGATCGCGATATTCTTCACCAGCTCCATAATTCAAATGCATCCAGCTTTCATATGCAGATGCTTTTGCAGCTGTTGTTGTTGTTGTTGTTAGGTGCCATCAAGTCGGCTCCGACCTCGAGCGACTGTCCGTAACAGAATGAAACATTACACAGACCTGCAGCATCCACACAATTGTCCCTAGGCCTGCGCCCATTGTTGCGGCCACTGTGTCAAGGCATCGCGTTAAGGGCCTTCCCGTTTTGAGTTAAATGCCCTCTACTTTACCAAGCATGATGTCCTTCTCCAGGGACTGGTCTCTCCCGATAATATGTCCAAAGTGAGTATGTTAGATGAAGTCTTGCCTTCCTTGCCTCTAAGGAGCACTCTGTCTTGCAAGACAGACAAGTTTGTCCTGTTAACAGTCCCTTGTACCTTCAATATTCTGCACCAGCACCACAATTCAAATGCACTGATTCTTCTGTCTTCTTTATTCAATGTCCAACTTCCACGTGCAAACGAGGCCATGGAAAATCCCAGGGCTTGGTTCAGGCACAGCCTAGTCCTCAAAGTAACATCCTCGCTTTTCAGAACTCGAAAGAGGGCTTGTGCGGCAATTTACTTAATGAAGTGCATCATTTGATCTCTTGACTGGCCTGTTGCTTTCATGAGCATTGCTTTTGTGCCCAAGCAAGGTAAAATCCTTCACAACGTCGACCTTTTCTCCATTTAATGTGATGTTACCTATTGGACCATTAGGTAGCCAGGCAGGGCCAGGGGGATTGTCCCTGCTATGCCTGCACAGGCCCCGTACAGGTAGTTGGGAAGAAAAATCAGGTGGTCATTAGCCACCCATGAAGGCTTTAACTGGGCATGCTCAAAGTCAGGCCCCAAGCCAGATGGGAATTACCTGGGTGGCCCAAACTAGGCCCAGGCTCATGACCCCAAGTAGATGGGCT